ACTCAGTTCACGTATATAGAATTTCAAAAGAAAAAAATGCGCATTTATCGCATTAAAAGCACATTCTAAATACGTATACCTTTTGTGATCCATCTTTCTTTGAAAGTAATCGCACAAGCCAATTTTGTATTTAATCGAGGCGATTTGAGTCAAACAAAATGGTTATGGATAGTGTGACTGTTGTTGCAGTATATCGGATAGAATGTTTGATTAGTTTCATTCGCCCGGCAAATGTCAAAGCTGCAAAATTCTCTCAAATGGTGTTTGGTAAATCGATCTCGCGAATCTCTACGAACGAAGGATTTTTAACAATGTAGTTGTGATTTGCGCTTGGGCGTTCGTTTTCGGTATCGTTGAATCATGTTGTCGAAACTCCGATTTATTGTCCATGAATTTTCCGTTTGGTGATTCAAGAAATGCGAGATTTATGGTCACAACCTGAAAATAGCCACACTAGTGAATAAAGTTGTGCGGCAGTATGCAATAAATTGTATTAATCAATTGCATTGGTTGGCTCGCGGAAAAACAAATGTTTGAAAATTTATCATTTCCCCTAATTGAATTCACGTGTCGTCTTAATTTACACGCAAGTTCAATCAAGTTCAACGCGAAATTGTAATTGTTAGAGTCTGACGCTTCGTTACTGTCGCGTTTTATATTATAAAATATCAACTTTTCTCACATTACGTGGATAATACGTTACAGACACCGATATTATATTTAGCTCGCTAAACTCATATCGGCTAGTCACGAGATTAATTATATTGTAAACCGAGCCAACTGCAGTTCGCGAACTCGCAGACTCGTTTCCGTATTTGATATGATTCCGAAGTAATACGAATCCGGGCACCGGGTGAAGCCTCGTTGTTGAATCTAGGGTAGCAATGGGAATAGTTCGTAACATTATAAGCTTTTGTTGGATGGCGTGAACTGTGAGCTAAACGCTTCTAACTCCTGTTACTAGTAACTAGTAATTAAGCGAGGCGCTGCTGTGTGAAACGACCCACCTACCTGCTTCTGTCCCTCGCACCTTTCTACGATCCTGAAGATTGCGGTGCGAAACATCCATACTCGCCTGAGCCTTATCCATGATATAAATCAGTGAAAATAAGTGATATAGAAATTTACAATGTCTTATAATCTCCAATTTCAATTTTTATATCATAAGTAATCCACTCGAGACATATTTATTTTAATACTTTTTATATTTCCATAATTTTTTAAAATGATATTTGACAATCACTGATTATTACTATTTCTAGTGTCAGGTCTTTAAAATATTCAGTATTCTTACTTAGACGAGCAATTGTAATACTTCATGTTTAAAAACATAGGCATAGAAAAGTATATATTAAGAGAAAAATTTATCGTTTCAATTAAACAATTGTTATTTGCTCCGAGCAGCTGTCATTCGAAAAAAGATGAAAACTACATTTTAATTGAGGTTCGTTCTCTCATATGCATACTGCTTACTTTTTTACGCAATTATATGCGCTTTTCGTGCAATTCTATATTACGAACATTGGATATATAATATTTAGCAAAACATCTGAGTAATATTCCGATCATGGTACATGTTGAAATTTGATATGTGGAAATTTATTAATATGGTACTTATTAAACAATATATACGTCAATTAATTATTTACATTGTTAAAGTTGTCGATACATTATAAAGAAAAAAAACCGGTACGCTTTCTAATAATATATTAAATATTCGTGAATTAAATATTCGAAATTAATTTTTTTTCTTCGAGGAAAGTCAATTGGATACTAAACTACCTGTGCTATTTTTTTAAATATTGTTTTAATTATTATTTGAGATTAATCAAAGAATAATTTTTCTTTCTTCTTATAAGTTACATAGAGTTGTTATGTAATATTGAAACTATCATTTTTTTTTATATTAAAATACATTCTTCTTAATTTAGATCTTCTAGTATTTGCTGCATGTCACTTCTAATTAATTTTGTTTGTATTGATTGTGTAATCTAATTAAAATAAGATATTCAAACGTGATAATACATCTTTTACATACGAAATGTAAATTGTAATATAATCCTTGAGGTGTAACGTTTACTGGCGCCGATATTAATAACACCTTAATTGGAAATTAGACTATGATATAAGCGTTCGACCTTCCTTTCCTGGAGCATGGGTCGCGCCATATATGGCGAAGTTAATTCCTTTAATTAATAATACAGCTTAGAGCGTAAAGACTGCAAAGCTAGACTAGCAAACGCCGAGTCGCTTTTATTCGGCGACGTAAAATTAAAACTATAAAATTATGTATAACATAATATATATAAATAATGTGCAAGTTCTTTTTTAATTTCCCTGCTTTTATGATACGTTAAAATTTAAAATTGTTCCCGAATAGGCCTTCATGATACTTACGTTGCGTTATGGTGGTCTGGATATTATCCAGACTATAACGCTATCATATAAAAAAAAATTGATACATGCAATAGCGTATAGAATTACGGATTTGAGGGATTTTTCATCGATAATGCTTCGTTGATGAGGATCCGTGTATGTTGGTACGTTTTCTCTTTCTAGGATAAAACACATTTTGCAATAATCCAGGAATAAAATGATGCCCTCGCAGATTGAAAAAGTTAGGATTTTACCTTTTATACTGTATCCAATTTGAAGTGATGTAAAGCCGTCTATTACACGGCCTCCGCGAATCACGTGACGTTTGCAAATGCATGCAAGTGCTTGGAAAACACGCAGCTTAGAACGCGAGCCTTATTCTGTCATAAGAATGATTTAGGCCATATTGATTAAGAAATTACGCGAATCTATTCCTCTCGTGCCTTTAGATTGCCTATTCGTCACTTTTAAGACTCCAGTACATGTAAATTTCATATAAATTAATATAAGAATTGTGACGTAAAAAGCGTCAATTGGCACAGAGAGAGAGCTTCGTGATAATTTTTAGATTCTTCTGAATTTTTTTAATGCATGGATGCAGGAAATGCATTGAATATAAATCTTACGAAATATCATGAGAGATGTCTAAACAGAAATAATCAAAGATATTCAATTCCGTGCGTCCTATTTCTGCCGGAGCATTTCCGTAGCGTCGATCGATTGGCTGCGAGTCGTATCGGGTTACTTTTTTAATTTAATTATGACGATATTTTCGAGTATTCCTCGTACGTACTTTGCCTTCGTTTCTTTTATCGTATTTCCAAAATGTTTTTACACGGAGGGAAAGTCCTTACAATTAGTATAATTAAATTTAACGCAAGTAAATTTGCTCATTTTATCTGTTTAAAATAATGTTGATCATTTCGTATAACTTATATAATTCAATTACATTTTTATGCAATTTAATTACACTTACATTTGAATAATTTCATTATCGAGCGATAGAATATGAAACGTAATGATTACATCGGGATTAATACATCAGGGTCCGTACGTATGATCGATAAACAATACGTTTTTTTTTTTTCGTCAGTATGTCTCCCGAATCTGTGACGAATGTTTTTTCCGCAAAAAACTAGGACAACGCCGAAAAGTTCGTTTTCGATAGCACGAATAGTATTTTCCAAAATGTTGTGCAATTTCGCGTGGCAGCGTGTACGACGGTGCCCTCTCGACGACAAGGTGATACGGGCAAAAGCGGAGCACCGTGCCGCTCATGGTGGGTAGCGGGTGGGGGGGGGGATACGAGGAGGGGGCGTCGGATACGAGGAGGGGGTTGAATGGGGTGGCGGATCTCCCGCCGCTCGCTTCACGGCGGATGGTTCACCGGACGCCCGTCGTCGGGGCGCTGCAGCCCGTCAGGACGTCAGTTCTCCATCGTATCGCGCCAGGGTCGGACCTGGATCCCATAGGCGCGCGCGCACATACACACGTACAACACACGCTCACACACATACACACACACACACACACGCACACACTCATATATCCATACGTACGTACGTACGTACGTACGCACGCACGCACGCGCGCGCGCGCGCGCGCGCGGAGCACCCTTGCGCGGATTCCAGTGAAATCCCGCGGCGGGAGTAATCGCGCGACTATGAGTGAATCGCGCTTGTCTCGGCTAATTACTACTCATCGATGATAATTGAGTAACGTGGGCACAATTAAACGCGACGTCCTCCCCCTCGTGCGATCGAGTGTTCGCGCCAAGTTCGCGCGAGTGTCAGCCGCCAGAACGCTGGCGGCTGCCGAGGGTGAATAGTGACATATTCGAGAGGTGATCCGACCGATCGGTCGCGGGTCAAGTGTCGCGAGATAACGACGGGAGAGGTATCGACGAGCTGTTTGGAAATTATCCGGGAAGGAGCACGGACGATATATATCAGGAGACGGTAAACAGAAATAATTGCAGACAGGTGGAGTGAGCGCGAGACGAGTAGTGACGGTCCGTGACGAAGGAGACAGTAGCGGCGGCGGTGCAGTAGTAGCGCGGCAGTTTCCACCGCCACGGGACTCAGTGATAGCGGATCGCGCGGTGGTCAGACCGGCTGACGGAGGGCTTCGGTGGATCAGCTGACAGAGCACGATATCCACCACATCGTGATGTAAACGCACTAGTAGCTAGAACGGAGTGTGTATATATATATATATATATATATATACGTATATATATATATATATATGTGTGTGTGTGTTGCGGCATATGTACATCCACGATAACAGCGAACATGCGAGCGCGTTTAATCGACGCACGTATGCGTAACCGTCGCGTCTCGCCACCGAGGATTCAATTAAGCCTACCACTCGAGGAAGGTCAAGCGCGCTATGCGAGCGACGGGCTAAGGGGCCCCGAGTTTTAATTAAAACTCGCCCATGGGATTCCCCATTATCGCGCGCGCTTCTCGTATTCGGGATTAATTAGCTGCGTGGGAAATAAGAGCCAGCAGCTAAGAGCTAGGTAAAAAAAGGTGATTGCCGCTAGCACGTATGTTGTCCTCGTACACGCTTGTGTGACAGTTTTGTGCGACGCATCTCAGGAGCTTCTCGAGCCCTCGTCCTCGCCGTCATGAACGAGCTTCTTCTCTGGTCGCGCTGCGGCTGGCTTGGTTAGTGATCGTGACGATTTTAACGGCGGCACTTTAATTACAAATGCACCTTTGCACCAGTGACAGATAGTGCAATTACGATTGGAGTTAAGAATCATCATTTGGAAGCTAGAGGGACGGATAGAAAAAGTAGAAAACAGCGGGCGTCCTATACTTGACGCGCTTCTGCCAACGATGTTCAAGTAGGACGATTCCTGGTGATTGGCGATAGGTAAGCGAAATCGTAACTCGCGATTTTCGTGAATTTTTTTTATATAATATATATATACGTAACATTAAACATCGCTAGAACTCGTCGCATACATGCGTACTTGCATAATATGGTAATTTCTACGAGTTTCCTTTTCCAAATTACGTAGACTGTTGCCTTAAACGTTGTGAGGTTCAATAAAAACATAAGTGTCGATGAATTCCGATATATATCCTATTGATCCTGCCAGTCCTTTTAAAACTGACTTTACACGATGAGATAGTTGATTTATATGATATTTACGAGCTGCAATTATTGTATTAATATTCTACATTGTCTCGTGTTGTTATTTGTTTAGTGCATTTAATTAGTTATAAATTACAATAACGTAATAATGCATCAATTGCTCTATTACATATTTTACTACATGATACTCGATATAATGTCGAACTTTCCTTTGTTTTTCGTCGCATTGCAACGTCAAAAGCTGCAATGTGATATTTAGTTGTCAGCTCGCGCGGGGTATGTACCTTAGACTCATCAAATATTGGTTGCAGTTAATTACATCGATCGAACGCGCGGTCATAATTCCATTAACTTCAAGTAAGTAATTTCGATTTATTCGCGTGAAATGAAGTACCATTCCGTAATGTATATACGATGTATATACACATTTCAATAGAATTGTAAACGCGTAATATCTCTTACAAAAAAATGCAAAATTAGTTTCTGCTGAAACACGTACGGATTCGGTTTGAATCGTAAAAATGTAATTTGAAATAAATGAGAAATATATGAATACGGTGCAATTAACAATAACCGCGAAAATATTGTATTCCTTGCGAATTTTATTATACGTAAAAGGTATAGAAATTAAAAAACAAAAATGCTTAACTCACGTTGCAATCGTTCTTGAAAAATAACCAGAGTTTTTCCGGTTAACAATTTCTAGCGCAATATTTACCGCACAAGTTTCACATTGTTTGGAGAAACGGGCGTTTTTGCGTTTTGCGAAGTTACGCGAGAAGTCGTGTGAATCCTCGTATCGCGTAGCGTTATCTTAACGCGTTTCTTGGCGCCTAGAAAGGTGCGGAGCAACACCTAAGACAAAAGGGCAGAGATAACCGCAAATTGGTGCGCCCGTTATCTCTAGACGCTGCGTTAATTATCTCCATTTTATAAGCATCCGCAGACGCTCATAAGATAGCAAGCAACGAGGTATCCGGACGTATCCTCGAGTATCTCATTTACGTAACACGGGGATGTGGTGAGTTGTTTCGGAGTATGTTGGCTTTGCATGAATAAACACCCCAGCCATTTCGTTTCAGCGGCGAGCCCCGAAATTACCGCCACGGCGTTACGTTACTCCGGGAGCGGTTCGAATTGAAACGCACGTAACGTGCATTTCTACTATCGCGCGCGATGTATGCTTTTCGCGAAACGGCTGTTCTTCTGCGTGCGGCCAGCGATCTTTCCGTTACGATATCGCATATATTTTACTCCGTCGGTCTTTACACACTCCAGCCCATCAACGTACATCGGACAATCCCCGCAAAATACGCTTTCGCCTAATACATTTGCATCTCGTGTGTGCGCGTTATGTTGTTCAATCATACATTTACGATACTCTCGACCGCGCTTCCCTTCCCTTCCCTTTTCCTTCCCCCCCTCAGGTCTTGTTAATAGCACTTACGCGCATTTACATTGAATTATTACCGGCTACTCGCTGGTGTGTCGCGAGATCGGTATCCTGTGCCTTCGTTTGGTCTCATCAGTGTTCACGAATGATCGATCGACATCTCGCGCAGCCAAATGATAGCGATTCCGCTGCCGTTATTGCTCATAGCAGGAATGATGTTAATGGTCGTGGTGGATGCCAGTTACGTGGCCGGCCAATAATGCTTCTCGCGCGTCCACATGCCACAAGCTATGTGGAGAGTGAAAAATGTGTTTGAGCTGTGTAAATAAACGTTATAGGGCCTGTCTGATGGGTCTCACGAAAGCGAACGCGAAGCCGCGGATCGTCCCGACGAGATACGAGCTGTCTCGCTCCGAAAAGCGCTTGAAAAATAACGCTTCCGCAATGCGTTTTACTCGCGCTAACTGCGAATAGCACAACCGTTGTTTACCGTACACCTTTTTTTTCTGATCTGGCTGGTAGATTACGTCGAGCGTAGGGTTGTGGGTTGATTTGAAAAAAAAAAAAAAAAAAAAAAAGAGAAGAATGGGGGGGCTAATTTAGTTTTTTGTTTTAAATTATCGCGATGAATTTCGCAAAGTTACGTGCGTCTAATATGTAATAATCTTGTTGTTCGATGCCGTCGTTGTGTGTTATACGCCGCTGTGGCAACGATCGCGGCTGGCTTACGTTTTCGAGAGATTACCTCGTTGGATGATGATCAGAGTTGGTTGGAATTTAAAATTAATTATCTTTCGCACAAAAGATAATATAATATATCAAAAGAATATTTATCCTCAATAACCTATATCGCTGTTCCACTCAGTGATTCAAATAATATATTTATATATTTTACAATTAATCGTTCGTTAAAGAGCATGCTGAGATGTCATTTATTGCTGATGCGAAAAATTGCGTTTCACGGAAGGATGCTATTGCCTTTTTTTATTTCTTCGAATGTCAATGATTTTTAATTCCTCTCTAAAATTTTACTTTAATTCTGAAAGTATATAGTTTCTCACGTTGTAATGAATGTTCTCCACCTCTCCTTTCCTGTGAATTTTCTTGTACGCTGGAAATTTTTTCTTTAAAACGCTATTATCTTTATCTCGAGCTCAGCGTGTGCGCTTTCGTTTCTGCAGCGCGGACATTGCAGATGATATAAATAAAAAGATCTTATCGTACGACTGTGCATAAACGAAAGCTCCACGGTGTTCCGGTTTGCTACTTTGGCTCGTACAGGTGCATCGCATACATTCGCGAAAGTGCGTTCAGTCTTTTATCTTGAAAAATGCACCGGATGCAATTTCATATTTTATACGAAAGCGTTGCGCCCGTGTTTTTTGTCCGTGCTCAAATGAAGCAACAGTTGCCTCTGTTCGTTGTTGTGTCTGATCAAGAATAGCTTAATCAAGAATGTTGATAATTCCACGTTTCTTTGCTGAAATTTCGTGAAATATACGTACTGTTCTTTTCAATATCGTCTATTCTGTTTCTGTATTATCATGAAAACCTTGCACTCTTCCTCTCTCTTTCTCTCCGAATGAAGAGAATATTTTATAGTGTAATACATGAATACATTATGAGAGAAGAAAAACAAGCAAAGTGTTCGATAATAACTTTTTAAAATACATATATTGATTAATGCATTTTATGACAACCCTTCTTGGCAACATTTTCCAATATTAATACATCTATACAATTATCTATACGCGTATATGTTTTTATGTTTTCAATTGCATAAAGAATACAGCACACTACCTCGTATCGTAGCATTGTAAAAATAAAATGGGTGAAACGTGTGATGTGGTATCGTAACTTTATTACGAAGCTGCTGCGAAAAATTCATTTTGTATTATTCATAT